GCCGCGAAATTATAGTAGGCAGAAAATAAAAAGTATAACATTGTGATTTCAACTACAGCCGCAGCTTAACTGGGTTCTATACCGATTTGGGCGCCCTAGATCAATCCCGACGACGGGTGATTGCCGTGGCAAAGATCGATAGAAATAGCTGAGAGATAGGCAAAACAAAGGACCCGCATGGTGTGGTGGTGAACGCGTTACACCCCGGAAAGGACAATAGCGCCTTCGTTCCCCACCATAGACACCTGCGGTCCAGAGTTTTGCAAATATCTCAGCAACGTTGTGGTCGTCTCCCATATACTTCCTAGTCACTTGATTGCAGGCTTTTGGCCGAATTGACTCGTAGAATACAATCCGCATAAGCAAGAACGCACCCACACACGCATGCATGAACACGCCTAGCAAGTACAGAAGCTATGTGCCAAATCAGCGCAGCAGAAACAGGTAGTCCATCCCCTGGATCCACCTGGGTCTCAGGGAATGAAAGGTCGCTTTTGGTCCGCGATTAACCCCTATCCGCCACCTGAGGACGCGCCACGTAGCCTCGCGACTAACCGGCTCATATGATGGAGATCCGTGGTTGAGGTTATTAGCCTTCAAAATTAGGTTTAGGAATTATCTGGAATTGTCGTTTCATTCACGGCCCCATGAAGGCAAGAAGTGAAGGAGAACCAAATATGCTCAGCGACTCCCTACTACGAACAATGAAAGGTTTTCTAGCGTCCGCTTGAGTCACCTAACAACTACCGGAACGATAGGCGATACAGATGAGATACTAATTATAAAGTGTATTCAAAACTTGCCCATTTCTGGGGTATCGGGGTGTAAGAACGGTAAATTTTGCCTAAAATTTGCTAATTATTAATAGTTCTGGTTACATTAAATCGCATCGCTTATGAACCGATCTCGTTGAGCTGATGCGAGGCTGGTAGAAGTTGTTGTTGTTGTTGCTGCCGTCGTCATTGTTGTCGGTCCAGGACTCACGCTTCGGCGATTTCGCCTTTCTCAGAGCTTGGTCGCATTCCAAATAACAATAGCCTAATTATTCGGTGACATATATGTACTGTTAATGACGACCTAACATGTAGATGAACTTCATCATTTCGTTTAAAAAAGTCGTACCAATCTCAAAGTTGCAATGTACTAAATTGCCTCAACAATGGCAGCTCGTAAGAAAGTATATGTTGTTAATGTTACGACTGTTCGACATTACTTAAAATTCATAGACTCTGAAAAAGACGAAAAAGTGGAAACGTTAGTCGAAAATAAACTTCTTTATCGACGTCGTGTTAGGTTACCAATGGATGAAAATACATTCGAGATTTAGTTTAGAACCTTTAACCTGACACTTAGAACGAGAAGTCTTTAGAGGTCCAAAGAAATGGGCCAGAGGAAAGAAAACAATGACATTGTACGGCGAAGAACTGGCTCATTCGAATCAAGATTCTAGATCATCCTTCCTTATTATTTTGCTGCACAGGATTCCTTTAGTATAACTCTATTACTTCTATGGGAAAGCTCCACTGTTTCAACATCTTGCTCGTTGTGATGTTGGAAGTAGGAACTGAGAATTTCCACGCTCGCAAAAAATAGCCTGCTCGCAGGTACCACGAGTCATTTTTCTCAGACAGATAGACAGTCGACTCCTTTCAGTTTAAGTGTGAACAACCTAACTTGGCTATCTCAGAACTCCAGGGAAAATCAGCTCTACCAGCATCAACGACCTTCATAACGGAGCACGAAAACCTCGAGCAGCAGACGAACCCACACGTAAAACGTTCGACGATCGTCGCTGATGATGGATGCAAGGGAACAAATTGAATGCAAGAACTGAAGGAATCCATACAGTGTGATAAATGTGGTAAGAGATCATCTACTAATAGAACAAATACTTATATGAATTTGGAGGAGACTGGTTGGTGTTTATCTGCTAAACGGACCAATTAAGCAGTGGACCCGCTTACTCGAGACCGGCGCCCGGCTGAAGGTTCTAGGAAGTTGAAGAAATATTAGATTGCGAAAGTTCCAGTCAATAGTACTAGTTTGGGTTTTTTTGAAGTAACTGCAAAGATCCTATCGACACCATAACTCAACGCCAAAGGCATTTCCTCGCTCACCAGGTTGATCATCGAAAATTCTCGATGGTACCCAAATACGCAACATTTAGGATTTCACGATTACAAGAGAGTTGGTGACTACACATCTGTTTATGCACGATGGGTAACAGAAACTTCATTCTCGAAGTTTTTTCTCCATTGCTTGTGGACAACTACGCTCATTGCCATGCCGGCGACACCCAGCCGGACTGCGGCTCACCGTCGGCTCGTAAAGAAATCACCTTGGCAACCACACGTCACACCATTGATTGTATGTTTTCCTCTTAAGATTGTTTCTGTAGCATTCAGAACAATTGCTGCTTTCAGAAATGATTTATCGGAGCTAGAGTTCTCATTTTTTTTTCTATTTTTTAAATCCTAGAGCTATTACGTTATTTGCAGCATTCGTAGTCACTCGACCAGATAGATTCCTGTGGTGTAGTTATGATTTTCGCATTCGATTTTTCAAATATACTTACTCTTCTTGACATGGAAAATCTGGATAACTCTATTTATTCTGTTCTTGGTCTTGGGCCAAATTTCTATGCTATACCTCCATGAACTCAGTAATCGAGTAACTTGGACTGGTTCCACTAAAGTCACTGCGCATCCCTGTCCATCTCCGTGATCGGCTGCGCCATGGATTTACTTTCGCCTGAGCTTTTGGCTGGAAACGTCACTATTTTTTTTGACTTTATTGATGAGATCGATTCTTAATAACTCGAAAGACCGACTTGCTATGAAGCTCGGCATAGATAGTTGATATATTTATTTATGTGATCTTATAAACTGATCTTCTTAAGCTGACGCGAGGTTGGTACAGATCTTCGTTGTCGTTGTCGTTATCGTTTTTTTTGATGTTACTGATCGATGGCTGACGTTTCAGCGACTTCGCCTTCCTCAGAGCCGTGATGTTATGTGCGAGACTCCGCACACGAGTCACGGCTCTGAGGAAGGCGAAGTCGCCGAAACGTCAGCCATCGATCAGTAACATCAAAAAAAACGATAACGACAACGACAACGAAGATCTGTACCAACCTCGCGTCAGCTTAAGAAGATCAGTTTATGAGATCATATAGAAAAAAAGATCGATTCTCTTTTCAATGATTTTCACCAGCTCTTTCTTATCAGAAATCAGCGACCTCATCTACACAGCTCTAGAATCGTAGCTTTACACTCTAGCACTACGCAAAGAAAATCCCGTTAAGCGGACGTTGAGGCAATGAATGGGCTGGCTGACGACAACGACGACCTGCCATTGTGAGTTTCTTAGAAATGTTGTGTTGGATGGTCACAAAAGTAATTGTTTCGCTTAAAGGGCAACTTTGAGGCGCTATAAGCTTATTGGAGCATAACTTTACTAGTCGGAATAAGACCCAATGCAGATTTTTTTCCCGTAAATGGAAATGAATGCGTGTGTTAGACTACAAAACGAAGCTGTAAGAATTGGTCGCTTTGATAAGATCGTTTCAGTTAGCTCAAAAACCTTTCAACCGAAGTGGTAAGAAGATTTCTGCAAACGATTAATTAAGGAAGGTTTTAAAATATTTCACGACAGCGTGAGTGCGATTGTTCCTCTAACACGAAATGAACTTATGAATTTCGTCACTACAAAAACGGTCATCATTTTTGCAGCAACTCTGTAGGAACCCAATTATAGATAGCCTAAGGCGTTATCAAATGGGATTTAATCCTCAAATATTTCAGTGAAATACCAGAACTTCCTACTGGACAAGTGCTGCGTTTGGATTTGCTATCAAATTGGGGTGACAGCACTTACGTTGGTCTCAATGCCGTAGAAATCTTCTCAGATACTGGAAGACGTCTAGAAGTCGCTAAGGTCTGAGCACTTTGCTAATATCCGACATCAAATATGCTCTTGCGTAAGCAGTTGTCTGCTCAGAGGTTTACGTTATATGTTATTAGGCGTAGCATCTGTATAGTTTCCAGAACTTCAAAAAATTTTCACACTACTGACGGTAAATATCACATTGGTAGTGGTTTCGTTTCAAAAGGTGAGCGGGATGATAGGATAAATACCAACCACAAGATTCTGTGAGTGAGTATGGTTCATTCGAGAGAGAAGCTCCACTGAGGAAGATCCACCTCGATGCGAGACGAAGATGCCACCTCGAGAACACGAACAACTGTGGACCATCGACTCGGATCATCGGCTGTGATGAAAACGAAACCTTCGAGACGCTGGCCGAATAAACGTCTTTATCAACCTCGTGTAAAACCAACACTATAAAGAGAAGATTCTCTGTTTCTTCCCGAAGCTACCGATATCGCATAGCTACTGCCTCCCAGACTTTGAACTGAAGCACTTATGAACAATGAAAAAAACGTAACTAGTCCAGTTTTCGATATTTTAAAGACTAATAGACTCATTAAGATTATTTCCACTACTCAAGAGATCACTCTACGTATTTTACGCTTGAAAATTATCCCCAAATGGCCTAGATGCCTTTCTTGGGTGTTTATTGAGCGTTTTGAGTGAAAATTTCCTTACAGAGAGACCATTGACCTGATTGTTCAACTAGAAATGCATACTAAACCGACGGCGTGTTTCACTACAATGTATTTCTGTCTCTGCATTGCAGATTTCGACGAACGCCGTCCGGACCTTGGGCGATGTGCAGTCGATCTTTGTCGAGTCGTTCAGCTGCACCGACCAGAGCAAGATGTGGCGAGCAAAGCTGGAGAAAGATCGGTGTGTGAGCATCGACATAGAATTTGTCGAGAGCACTCGCATCGCCATGATACGATTCTGGGTGGGTTGTACTTCAACAAATACCTGCTGTGTATGTTTTGCAATTCATTCATTACCAATACATGCGGTTGTCTCTTGATTAATGTTAATGTTTACACTTTAAATAAGCTTGTAGTGAACTTCATCAACTGAGTTAAAAGCTAATAGATTTATTTTTTGCCGAGGAGACATAACCCTTCTTTCTTCGTTCTCTAACTAGTAAATGGCACAGGAAGCTCAATCGTTGGACATGTTGGGCAATACGTGCACTGTATTCATAGATCTTCCACACTGAGAGATAGTAAGGTTGGTGACGATGTTACGGAGTTCGCCACATGTTACGGGTGGGTGTTGAACACAAACAAAAAGAATCTTTTCGCTTCCCTGAGAAGTGGATGGATCCAGGACATGAGCTATCTCTGCTTACGTAGACAGGCTCATGCATGTGTTCTGTTTAATCAAATTTTATTCTACAATTCAATTCGTCCAAAAGTCAGTAATTGAGCTATTGGAAAGCACACCAGGAATGCTCAGGAGTCGTCTCCAAGAAATACGCTCGTTGTCTGTTCTATATGAGAACGAACCGCTATTTGTGAATAATATCATGGATAAATCTGTTAAAGTAACCTTTGAGTATCAATCTCCAAACACCTTAAAACAAAGGAGTATCAGGCTCTTTGTCCAGGAGGAACTCCCATTCGACAGCGTGAGGTATCAGAAATGCGGAGAGGGTACTCAAAGTTTTGGTCCATACTACGCTACCTAAATCTGGAGATTATGATGACGATTTATATTTTTGATGCGCGCTCACTCGCATGTGAGTGTTCTGTCGAGGACCTAATTGTACCAGCGAAGAGGATTAAACACGATGCCATTGTATTGGTGGAGACGAGAAGACGCCACCTATAGTAAAGCCATCTTTGGTACCAGCCACCAAGTATTCGACGATGGTGACCTTATCAGAACAAATTTGGTCATGAAAATCGCGTGGATCAATACCAGTTTTAACTGACAATCTTCGTCGTCTACACTTCTTCTGGACGAAAACGAAACGCTTTTCATGGACTTGGAGAAGTTCTACAGAGAAGACCATACATTCTTTATGAGATTTGAGACGAGGCTGGTTTTTCGAAAACAGACCATAATTTCCTGATTAGTGGAGTATTTCAGTCCGAATTTTATAGGTTATAGAAAAGATTTAGTTTGATCCTGCTAATGACAGGCATAGATTCCGTACGGTGTCCCTTAAGGTTCAAATACGTTTAGTGTCAACATTTGGAGAAGTCGAAGACGAAATCTAAAGATTTCAAAATTTGCATCCCAAGTGCGGCAACTAAAAACATGGACGATACATTCTGGACCACTATCTTGTCTTATTGGATGAAATCCGACATGTTAACTTGCTTTCGTTTCCCAAATATGAGTTTTAAAGCATTGGAATGGAAAAAGTTTATGTGATAGGCTCCAGAGAATCAGAATTTCAACGTTTTAAAGTGAGAGAACATTCATCCTAGAAGCAGAGTTTCGTACATTTTAATGGTTCCTATTGCAGTTGATAGAATTCACTCTGGGTAAATATAAATAACAACTTCGGAGTTTCCAAACGCAAATTTAAACGTGGGAGTATCCCAAGAGTGTCATCCGTAACACTACTCGTCCTGTTAATCGTCGAATGGCTCAAACAGGCGCCAATAAACCTTCCATTTACACTTATCGTGTGCAAAAGTAGGTGAGTCCTGTTTGCGCCAGGAACTCATTGAGCATCGTATCTATGTTCGAGGATTTTCGTAAAGAACTCTGACCATCGGATCGGTGGTCATGCTACTTTGCGTTTTAAATGGCAAGGAATCCAGTGGCTAACGGCTCATACTTATCGGTTGTCATACTGTTAAATAATGTTAAAATGAGGTTTAGAAGGTTACATGTTTCTTCCATTACACGTCCTGGGTAATCTGAACTCAGGCAATTCGGCATGTAGTGCAGCCACTTTGATCTTTGGCAGCTAACGTAGGTCGGGGCTTCGAATTACCACTCTCAATTGCGTTATCCGAAATACTTCTAGCATCCATAATAAAGTTGAGATATTTGCAAAACGTGAACCGCAGGCCAGATCGAACAAGCGGCTACCCCTTTCGGGGGCTCACGTGTTACGCGAGGTACTAATGAGGGCCCCTTCCTTTACCTTTCTTTCAGCTAGTTCTTTTCCTAATATAAATACACGCGAGCTCCTGGAAAGGATAGTCGGGCTTCGATTTAGCTGGGTTCCAAGTTTCGCAGATATCTTATCCTCATGGTGGCTGCATTTCACACAATACCCTGCTGTAAAAAATAATAATAAGCAGTAGTTAAACGGTCAAGTCCTAGCATCGTCCTCTCCACCGCGCGTGGTATAACACTGAGTGATCTTTCATTCTGCTTATGCAACGACCAGGTTTCTGTTGCATACGTTAACAATCGTGGAGTCGAAAAGGTTGGCAGGAAGTCCGGTGTTCTTCTTTCTCTTCACTATATCCTCGATGCTCTTGAAATCTCACCAAGCCGCTCGCTTTCTCCTGCCCACCTCTGGAGTAAGTCGTTCATCATCTTAATTTCCCAGCTTACATAGACGTAATTGGAGTATTCCGAGACATTTATTTCTTTCAACGTGAATGGTTCATAAGAAACCAACCCGTTCTTCATGAATGCCGTTTTGCGAGATTTAGTCGAAGACGAGTCTTTCCAGAAACGTCTTCAAAGTCGGAAAACATTCGTTCTGCCTGGCTAATGCTTAGTGTTATAAGGACGATGTCATCAGCAAATCGAAGATGATGTAACTACCGGCCATCAATTTTCACTCCCGTATTATCCCATTCCAATGTTCACATAACGTTCTGGAAGGTGGCGGTAAACAGTTTTGGCGAGATGATATCGCCTTGCCTAACCCCTCTGTTGACGTTAATGTTAATATCGTTGTAGAATGGTGATATTTTGGTTGTGAAATTTTTGTACAGCTCACGAAGAATCTTTATGTACTGAGTAGGG